CCATCTGCTGGCCCCCATGTGCCCCCTAGAGCAAAAAAAAAAAAAAAAAAGAGTCTTCATGTACCAGACGTGGATAATTGCTGCTTCCTTTTAGATGAGACACAAGATCTCATCTACAGGCTGTCATATGTAGTATACTTCCTGCTTGGTCCATGTGGACAATGTGGGTTTCTGGCTCCTATGTTGGCACTGACATGAATATATTCAGAAACATAAAATAAGCACTGATATCATGGTAGTACTCAATTATAAAGAATCATCTAGTTAATTCAAAATATGAGTATGTTAACTTTCTAGTGTAACAATAAAATGAGAAAAGAAAAGTTTTAAATTATTGTTGGGAACTCATAACCCTTAATACTATGTCGTATGATAATATGTCCTCGGACACTATACTACCTCTTAAAAGTGTGCACTCAAAGCATACTTCAATCTTCTGGGAAAGTGTGTACCCCTAATGCCATAAACATGTCCTAGGAAGACCTAGGACTATTCCTGGGCAAAATTCTTTACCAGAGATGCCTGTAAGTTCTGCTGGTTTTGAGATGGCCAAGGGTTGGACTATTTCCTTTTTTAAAAAGATGTTTATTTTTTCTTTTTTAAGATTTATTTTATTTTATTTATTTATTTATTTATTTTTGAGATTTTTGCTATAGGGCGTATGCACTCGCCAGAGAGAGAGAGACAGAGAGACAGAAATCACATCCCAGAGGGATGGCCATGCCATGATCCCTTCTCCTCCATTTTCCTCTTGGAATTTTTGGCATGCATGCATGCACATCTAGCCTGAGTTTTAAGTCACTGGGTTCAGGACTTGGACCATGGTTGACTATGTGGGGGTCCAGTGACGTAACCATTTTGCTATCTGCTGGTCTCTATTATTATTATTTTAAATTTGACCAGAGAGAGACATAGACAGAGAGAAAGTGAGAAAACAAGTTACCAGGTCCAGGACCCAAACCATGGTCAGCCATGTGGGAGTCCAGCGCCTTAACCACCATGCCACCTGCAGGCCTCAGATTATTCTTTTTTTTTTAAGAATTATTTTATTTAACTTTATTTATTTACCTATTTTTTAAAAAATTGACCAGAGAAAGTGAGAAAGCAAGCCTCCAGGTCTGGGACTTGAACTGCGGTTGGCCATATGAGAGTCCAGCAGCTTTATCCACCATGCCACCTGCCAGCCCTCCCCCCAGATTATTCATTTCTAACCAAGTTATTTGGGCAGCCATTGGAACTGTTTTCCTCTTTTGGAGAGGTCTTTGCTATAGGGCACATGCACTCACCAGAAAGAGAGAGACATAGAGACAGAAAGTGAGAAATCACCCCCCAGGGGGGATGGCCATGCTGCAATCCCTTCCCCTCCATTCTCCTCTCAGGATCTTAGGCACACATGCACACACCCCTGGCATGAGTTTAAGCCACTGGATCCAGGACTCAAACCGTGGTCAATTACGTGGGAGTCCAGCGACATAGCTATTACACCAACTGCTGGTCCCCTCTCTCTGCTCTTGACGTTAGGAGTTTAGTGCTACTCTTTCATTAGTTCTAAGAGTTTTCATGGTCTTTCTGTAATTTCCTGTGTATATTCAGTGATTTTAGTGAGTTTGCTGGGTGATAAAAACCCTGATGGCATTGTTTCTAGAATACTCAGAAAACACAAAAGACTTCTAAAACATGGCTATCCAGCCCAGAGTCATCTATAGGAAGTTTTCCGAATATCTCCAAAGTTTCTTTCAAGTGGTCTGATAACTGAATTTATTAATCATACACATTGTACCCAAGATTTATTCCTGGGTGATCCTGCTAAACTATTGTTCCTGATTTGCAAAGTTTCGCATATTATCTGGCCCAACTTTGACTTCCCCAGGGGAACTCTGGGAGAGTCAAAAGCATTGCTTAGGATCAGGCTATTATTTCATGCCCAGTTTCCTCCTTCGGTAACTTACCTTGAGGGTGCTCATTTTCTAGAGCTGGGGCACTATCAGAAGTGACCTGGAGAGATAAGAGAAACAGACTGAGATGAATCTAGGCTCCACACATTTTAGCCTAGCAACAGCAGGGGAAGGACTAGACTAGTAAAGAATGGACTTCACTGAAAAGGTTACCAGGCCCTTCAGAAATACTATCTCATGTCATCTTAACAGACCTGAGGTAAATCTCATTAGCCTTATTTTCACAGATCAGAAAACTGAGGGTTAAGAGACATTAAGCAACCTAAGATCATAAGACTGTTATGGGATGGAGCAGGGATTTGAACACCTATCTGAATGGTTCCAAAGCTCATGTTCTTACATATCACTGTGCCTAATAAAACATTAGGGGCCAACAGGTGGCATGGTGGTTGAGATGCTGGGTTCCCACATGGTCGACTGAGGTTCAAGGCCCAGACCCAGTGGCTTAAAACTCATGCCGGATGTATGTAAGTATGTGTCCCAAATCCCAAGAATGGAGGAGAAGGGACTGTGGAATGGCCATCCCCTCTAGGGGGTGGTTTCTCATTTTCTCCCTGTGCCTCCAGAAAATGCACACGCCTTACAGCAACAGTCTGTCTGAAAAACAAAAAACATTAGGTCTTAAAAGCTAAGACTAATTTGAGTTTAGAGCTGGTACCACAAGATTCTCACAAATCTACTTTATTAGAACATGGGAGCCAGAGATATAATACTGTCTTATCCCCAACACTCACTAAGCATAATAGTGGGCACTGGAATCGTAAACATACCTCTTACCACTTAGGGCGTATCTGGGCAGAGCTGACTGTGAGACAGTCGAAGCCTGCATGACCGAGGTGTGGATAAGGAGTAAAAGTGGTCCAACACCAGGGACTTGAGTCCACTCATCACCTTTGTAAATCGAAGGCTGTTACAGTTCAGGGGATGTTGGTTTTCCAAGCTTCTTATTCCAGGATAGCCCACGATAAAGAATGCTATGAATACGAACCTTCAGAACTATCTCTGTGCTCCCTCAAGTGGCCACATTTAGAAATTTCACTGGAACCCAGGAGGGATCGTGACAATTTTCATTCATTGGCATCAACAGACTTGGCTCCATTTGCTCTGAGTGATATTCCCACACTAACTTGTAGCAATACTTCACCTCCACAGCTTCTGTAGTGACACCAAGTTAGAGCTGACTGGCAAACAGGGTCAAGCTAGCAGAACAGGCCTAAGGTTTCCTCTTCTAATGGGCCAGAGGAGGTGGGGGGTGGCAGAGAGCTGCATAAAACTATCACCTTGGCCTGGCATTTTGGCACAGCTATCGGAATAACAGCCTCATCATTTGTAAGTGGGACAGAGAGGACTGCTGAGTGGTAAAGACACCAACATGGTATAACATTGTCTCACAAAGATCTACACCAAGGTATAGAAACAGGTATTTCTGTGGAAACTATTGCATTCTTCATGTGATACATACCATAATGTGCTACAGTTATTTTGTTCACTATCTAGCCAAACAGATTATAAATTCCCTGAAGCCTAGAATTATCTTATACTTTGTATCCTCCACTCACAAATATTTTATTTTTAACTCTCTAATAATGATTCACAATGACGCAAACAGAGAAACCGAGGACTAAGTTACAGACAGAAAATAGACAAATAGCTAAATAGAGATAAAAACATAAGAATCAGGCACAACCAAACGCATGATTTTATCTTTCAGCCTGTTTCTCCACATGACCGGGAATTATGTCCATTCCTTTATACTTGTAATAACATAGGCAACTTAAGAAAATACAAAATAAAATTTCGTACTATGGAAATACAAAATATGATAACAGAGACACAGACTCGTTCTGATACATAGACTCAAAATTTCTGCCATACTCCTGATCTGCATTTCCAGTGGTTTATTTGACAATCACATGTCACAGAGACTTCTCGAATGTTTCAATACAAAGCATTTTCCCTTCCACTCCTGTTATTCTTACTGTGGCTCCCATCTTGGTGTTTCTGCAGTACTGTCTTCTCAGATGCCTAGAAATGTAGTCTTGATTCCTCCCCTCTCCTCAATGTGTATCAGCTAAGCTGACATGTTAGAAATGTCTCAAATCCAGCTCTCTCCTTCCCACTATGACAGACTTAACTTAAGCTTCTAAACTCCGCTTCTGCAACATTCTCTAAACTGGTATCCCTGACCTAAATCTATTTATTGTGCTTTCACCAAGTTCTCTCACCCAAGTATCTCAGGTTTGCCAGCAACCAGGAACTCACTACTTTCTGAAGCAGCTCAGTCCATTTACAGAAAATTATTAAGAGCATTCCTAAAGCACACTCGTTGCCCTCTCATCTGCCATGAGTTCCCTTAATTACAAAACGGAGTTCGAATTTAGCATGGTATGCAATATCTTCAAGTTGATCTTAGCCTACTTTCCCAGTTTTTTTCTTATACGACCAAAATCCAAAGTTCTAGCAACATCAAACCACTAAACTCACCCCCAATCACCCCCAACCATCCTCTATCTACCCTGACTTCTCTGCTCTTGTTCACACCCTTCTCTCAATCTGCAATGCCTTCTCCGAGTTTCACAGCACTTTCTTCCACCTCTATGCTTCCAGTCTTTTGTTTGCATCTTGATAATAGCATTTATTACAGTCCATCTTAAATAACATCTGTCACTGGCTTCCTCTCACCCCCACTCAAGTTCGGTTGAGCATTTTCTAAGGAGTTTTCTTTTTCTTTCTTTCTTTTTTTAAAAAAACATTTTCTATCCTTAGAACATAGTATAGTACATAAAGTAAGACAGCTAATACAGTACATAGACAGCTAAATTGGGGGGGGGTGATTTTATATATATCTATATATATATGCCAGCAGATGGCAAGGTGGTTAAGGCAATGGCTTCTACATGGCCAACGGTGCAGTTTGAGTCTCAGACTGTGTGGCTTGAGAAGCACACTGAGCATGTGTGCATGCAGAATCCTGAGAGGAGAATGGAGCAGAGGGGACTGTGGGATGGCTATCCTCCCAGAGGAGTGATTTCTTGCTTTCCTTCTGTCTCTTTCTCCAGTAAATGCACAGGCACTATGGCAAAAATCTTAAAATATATACATATACATAAGGACTGGCAAGTGGAGTGGTGATTAAGGCCTTGAACTCCCACATAGCTGACCACTGTTCAAGTCCTGGACCTGGCAGCTTGCTTTCTCTTTGGTCAAATTGAAGAATAATAACAAATAAAAGTAAATGAAAAATTCTTAAAAAATACATATTTTAAATAATTATTTATTCTACTTAATTTTATTAATTTTTAATTTGATGAGAGAGAGAGAAAGCAAGCAGCCAAGTCCAGGACTGGAACCATGGCCATGTGGGAGTCCACAACCACCACGCCACCTGCTGGCCCCTTAAAAATATTTTTAAAAACCTATAAAAAATACATAAGTATATGTGTGTGTGTATATATATACGTATACACACACACAATACATTTATGGGCAAGTAAAAATGTTATTTTGAATTTAATGGAATCAAACCCTTTATTACTTGAAATGCTCTTTATCTGTAGGAGCTGACTCCCTTGCCTGGACGACCAATTGCCAATCATTTTACCACTCTGGTCTATATTCTTTTTTATTATTATTATTTTTATTACTTTAACTTTATTTATTTATCTATTTAAATTTGACCAGAAAGGGACAGAGTGAGAGAGAGAGAGAAAATAAGAAAGCAAGTTGCCAGGTCCGGGACTCAAACCATAGTCAGCCATGTAGGAGTCCAGCACCCTTAATCACAATGCCACCTGCCGGCCCCTGGTCTATGTTCTTTATAACTCCCCAACCCAACCTTTCTGAGGGCAGATAAGGGGTGTCGCAAAGAATTACTCTGGGTATGCAAATGATTCAAAGAAAAGCAGGTATGAAAACCAAGATGGAAGAGTTATTCGGGAAAAGGATACAAGGTTAAAAACTGTAGAGTGGGAAATTGATGGGAGGAGCTCCAGAGTTTTAGAAAAAGGCTCCCAAGGATGAGGGTGGCTCCACACTTGCAGCAGGCAACCTGCAGCATCTGTAGGAGTGTGACGGGACCTGCCACGAGTTGGTCTACTGCTTGCCAAGAATAAGCTATGTCAACACACCAGCTTAGAGTCTCAGAGCAGGGCATGACCTAATCTTATAAAGGGACACAGCAGCCTCTAACATTGAAATATTCCTTTCTTCAAGAAAACCCCAGTTCTCAGTCTTATTAAGGAAATGTGACCTTGCGAGATGTAGTATAAAAGTTATTTCAGATTTCCCTCTGCTAGGGATTGCAGGTATCAGGCAACCAGAGTCCAACAACTCCGAACCCCTCTGCCTCACCGAGTAAAGCTCACCCACTGGCACTGTTCACTCATGCAACCTCTCTGAAAGGGCGTGAGGTGCTAAGGAAGAGGCTCGAGGTAGCCAGGGAGTATGTGGGCTCCAAGGAGGGAGCCCTGCTCGGGCTGAAGGCACAGCGGACCGCAGACAGCGGCCCAGTCTTAGACGTGCCCGGCGAAGACGGGGAAGGACAGGGTCATGGGATGGGAAGACAGCGGGCTGCTGCTTGTTCGTCAGACACCCGCGCCAGCCCCTGCCCAGCCCTCCTGGTCTACTAACGGGGGTCCCAAGCTCCACAGCGCCCCCCTCCGCCTTCTCGCGCTCCTCACCAACTCCATCGCAAGAGGCGCCAGCTTGGCCCGTTCGCTTTAGGAAGCTTGTTCGCAGCAAGCTCCGCCCCACGTCCGGCGCCGAGTCTACTTCCGCTTACGTCACGACAGACGCACACTTAGGGCGGAAGGCGGGTAACTCGCCCTTCCGGAGGCAGCCAGGCCTCTGTAACCGCCCTCCCCATGGTGCTCGCGGTTCTCACGGATCTGGCGGACGGCGAGGGTCACGGGACGGAGCCGCTTGTATTTAAAATGTTCTTTTTTTTATTTGTCGTTTAAAAACAAACTTGGAAGAAGCAAAATCCAAAACTTGCCCTTTGCCTCTCGCAACATAAATTATGTACAGTTCAGAATGATCGCTGATACAAAACATGCCAAGGACAGGGGCGCGCTGGGGTGGAGGGAGAGGGCGCTTTTAAAAAGGGAACCATTTCATCCGTTGTTACGAAGGACCAACCTTGCTGTACAGGATACACACAACACAAAATAAAGTCTTCACGGGATTCACACTTGTCAGCGATTTATTTTTTTAAAAAGGGGGAGGGTCCTGGAGGTGAGGGTAGAAGACTGTAAAGGGGAAAAACTGAAAATTGAATATGTGCAAGTGTAAACCAACCCAAAATACAAACACAGGGGTGGGGGAGGTGGAGAGGAGGGGCTTCTGATGCAATTATACAGGCAGGGTACTTAAAAAAAAACCAACAACCAAAATTCCAACCTTGTAGCTTGGGTCTGAGTTATAGTTTATATAAAAATTAAAAACTGTATAAGGTTTCTTCACTAAAGTCTACAGGACTATCGGATACCTAGCATATGCTTACAAAGTCAGCCCCGTCCCCTTTTCCCATTCCCAGGGCCCAAGCTCCATCCAGAGCCTGACTCCTAGGAATCTGACTCCCTCTCCCTGTAGCCTAGAACTTTTGCTCTTGGAAAAGGAACGTCCAAGGACTGCTGCTTTAGGGGCAACAGCCCAGTCTCCCCACTGCTTTGATTTAATTACAGTGGTTTCTGTGGGAGTGGGGGGTGTTATTCCCTTAAACATTTGCAGCTTGAAACAGTTGAGGAAGCAGCTTAAAAAAACAAAACAAAACAAAACAAACCTCCCTACCCCCATCAATCCACAACCCCCCAAATTCAAAACAAAACAAAAACAAACCTAAAAATCATTACAGCGATCGTGCTCCCCTCCAGCAGGCCTGCCCATCCACCACCACCAAGCCCACTCTTACTCCAGACATTTGATTCTTGAAAATATTAATTACAAAATGCCCTTTGCCCACAGCCCCTAGTAGAGAACTGCATAAAAGCTTCGTCCCCATGGCTCCCTACCAGATACAGGTTTGGGACCTCACCCACCCCCTACTTACCCCCACCCCCAGGAAGAGGTTCAACTGCAGCACAAGCTTGGGCAGAAAGGGGAAGGAAAGGGAGGCAGGGAACCCATCACCCTCTGGCTCCCCCTGGGGCCAGCTCACTTTTGTGCGTTTTAACATAGTCCAACTATACAATTGGGGGGTGGGAATCGCCCAACCTCTATACCCCCACCTTACAGCAGTCACAGCCAGGGGGTGGGGAGTGGGGGGGTGGTGAGGAAAAGGGCGGTAGGTTGGGTAATGGAGGGGGCCCCCCCACAAGGGGAGCTCCATGTGTCCGCCCCACACCCCCCTACCATTTATAAACTGGTTTTGTAAAAAGAAAATAGATATATTTATATAGCTCCCCGCGCTGACACTAAGCTCCCCCACCCCCACATCACCACCCCTTCCCACCAGACCAGCAGCAGTTTGGTGACTGAGGGAAAGTGGGAGCTCCGGGCCACACCCTGCCTCACTGGGTATGGGCATGCCACTCAGGGATAGCCCTCACCCTACCCCCACCCACCCCATCCAGGGGCTGGAGGGCAAATGGGCTCATGATGGGGTTGGGAAAACAGGAGGGAGATATCCTGGTCCTAGGTTTAGCACACCCCTCCTGCTCCCATGTCCAGATGGAGAAGGAAGTCCTAGAGCAACTAGCGGCCAGTCATCCCCAATCTTCATCATCATTTGCCTCAACCACCATCCCATGCCCATAATTAAAAACAAAGATGGATTTTTTGTTGTTATTTTTTCTTCTTCCTCCTACCCCCCCTTCCACCCACTCAAAAGAGGGCAGTGAGGTGGGGGAGAGGGTCGGGCAGTAGGGGGCTTGGAGAGGGTCTCACATTTCAAAACAGCAAAAAATCCAACACTTAAATGAGGTAGGTGTGGGTGCGGGGTCTCCTTGCCCGGCCTGCCCAGCTTGCCATCCCAGGCAGCTGGGCGCCTCTTTCCCGTTCATGTTGCATTTGTCAGAGTGGAAAACAAGGAAACACAACCCATAAGAGAGACAGAAACACAGAGGAGAAGAGGGAGACAGAGACAGATTGAGAGGAAAGGGGATGGGGGCGAGGGTGGGGGCAGGACCCGGCAGGCAGGGCCAGGTGTGGGACCCGGCCTTTGGGATTGTCAAGCTTAGTCAAGTCTCTTTGCAGCCTTGAGTTGGGCCGGAGAGGTCGGTGGGAGCGGCAAGGCTGTGAGGCCCGGCCACACATCCTCCTCCCCTCTCCCTGCTGCCTCCCAGATGCTTCTGGGTAGTTCCCGGCCCATATCCCCCTCAAACCTGAGATGCCCAATGGCTGCTTCTGTCTGGCCCCTCCTCGAGCTGGGGGCAGAGATGCCAGCCTGAGGGCCGGTGGCGGGGAAGAGGGCTGTCCCTGGTGCCCAGGGTGGGTTTGGCCTAGGGCCCTCTGCCCCAGCCTCCTGCTCCAGGGGCTCCGGTCAGCCGGCAGCCCCAGCCCTGGGTCCTGGCTCTGGCTGCTACCTCTCTTCCCCCTCATCCCTTTCAGGGAAGAGGTTGGGGGTGGGGGGACTCCCCTGCCTGGTAGCCTCAAAGCTTCTTAGTTCATCCATTTTCGACAATTCCAGGCTCCACAGTGACAGGGGATCTTGTGCTGATCGTCCTCAAAATCAAACTGATAGTCATAGGTCAGCTGGGAAGAGAAGAGAACAGAGTCAACGCTAGCCTCCCAGAGGAGAGGCAGGGGGCACAGATGCTCTGGTCTGAGGACTGTGGCCTTGGAACCTGGCTCCTAGGGAATGGCAGAGAAGGGGAGAAACGAGAGGCTGCTTTGTCACTTGGATGCTTTCTCTCACCTCTTCTCCTTTGGGGATTCGCCGGCTGGAGATGATGATGATTTTGTCCTCCTTGTCAAAAGTCACAACTTCTGCTACGCAGTTGGGGGCACAGGAATGGTTAATGTACCTGGATAGTGGGACAGAGTCAGGATGCCAGACACCTGAGTCAGGATGATCTTGGTTCCTTTGCTTGGCCTATCCCTAGAGTGCCACCCTCAGGGACCCCGTATCCCTCCTGTGTCATTCCTCTCACCTGGCAGGGCCTCCAGTCAATGTAGCATCAATCACATGCTCATTGTTTATTCGGAACATGTAGATGCCTCGATTCTAGAAAGGCGGAGGTTGCAGAAGGGACGAGCGTGTCAGAATGGCAGCAGTAGCAGGGGGATCAGGAAAAGGGCAGTGGGCTATCTTGAACATACTTCATTCCTCCAGCCTATTCTCTCCCCTTCAACCCCCCGCCCTGCCCCTTCCCCCATACACACAAAGCTTCCCACCTGCTCTCCTGGCCGCATCCCACCCCTTGCTCTCTGGCCAAATGTGGATCACACACCACTATGACCCCTTTGCTAGCCCATACCTGCTCTTCATAGATTTTCTCCCGCCGGTTAGCTACTTCATTGCGAATGATGGTGCCAATGTACTCGATGACCATCGTGTGCTTTTCTAGGTCCTTGGCTGCATAGAGCCCCAGGCCCTGAATCCGGGAGCGAGCCAGATACACGTTGTTCTTCCACTCGGTGCGTAGCCGGCGGTACTGGGATGACTTGGAGTGCACAAACTGCTTGCTGTACGGGGTGTTGGTCTCGCCTGTGAAGGTGCTCTGATATGCCTTAGACATGCTGGTGCTGTTCAGGGTATGGGGCCTGGGAGGTGACAGAGTCCATGACAAGACAGCTCTCCCTCAGACTAAGCTCACACCACCCACCTCTGCCTCCGCCCTGGGATGTGCTCCAGGCCAATTAGGGGCATGTGCTGCTGGCAAGCACTGGAAGTGCCACCTTGGGAGTGGAGCAGAGGCCACTGGGTCTCAGCGTGGTGAGGCAGGAGGTAGCTACGAGCACCCTTCTGACACCCTGGGTAGCACAGAGAGCCCAGGACGGGGATAGGGGATGGTGGGAGAGGGCACCAATTCCCCCACACTGAGCCTGCTCTCCCACCTCTCCACTTCCTACCACCCTCTGCCAAACCACAGTCAAGGCCACACTCCTCTGGGAGGCCTTCCTAGGATTTAAGCTGGTGGTTTGCTTAACATTGAGTCCTACCTCCTGTACACACCGGAAGCCCTGGAATGGGGGCCATTTCTACCACACTGGGCTAGGCTTGAATTAAAATTGGTTGAATTCACAGCCAAACAATGGTATCCTTTCCCTTCGTTACTCTGTCCTCTCCTCTGACCTAAGAGCAAACTGTGCAGACGGCTCAGTGCAGGGGAATCACTGCTGCCTGCTGGGATAACTTTTCACCACCCTAGGGCACCAGCCAAATTGTTGCCCATCCCGGAGCGGTGGTTTTCAAACGTCTTTGGTTTCTTTTTTATTTAGCCAAAATATTCCTCCCCCTGTAACAAAATGGTGATTGGAACTCTTAATACATAAATTTGATAAAAATGGAGCTCTTCTGTTTAAATCCAATTCAGAGAAGGAGGAGTTATGTAAGAGAGGACCAAGTGCTATCCATCATTTTATGTTTGGGGACTTTTTGGGAACACACAGTTTGAAAACCACCGCTGTAGAGCATCAAGGACTAGTTCTGTCCCGGGGCTAGTCCCTGATACTCTACAACAGAGCCACCAGAGGCCTTTACCAAAGCCCTGCTACCATGGATTCTGCCTCCCTCTACCCAGGGACCACGGTCAGGCTACTGTGGTGCACAGAGAGACCAGTGACCCACAAGTCAAGATGTAGGGGTCTAGTCCCAGCTATGAGACCTTTAACTAGTCATTGAA